AGCAGATGACAGCTCTATGCTTGTTATTGCCTCTGAAGATCTTCCAATGGGACAAGGTGTAGAGGTGGAAGACAGTGATATCAACCATCCTAACTGTGTAGGCCCAGGACAAAATGTTCCTTTGTATCTTAGATTTTTTTGTTTGTCTGATTTTTATTTTCTATTTTTTAAAACTTTATTCAAATTAATGAGGATATAATATTTAAGTTACATTGTTCTCACTTCCAGGGTAAAGTTCCATTTGCAGAAGAGTCTCTCATCCAAGGGGCCTATTATATACCCTCACAATGTGCCCATTAGGTGAGATCCTGCCTCCTGCCCTCCCTCCTTCTGCCATGCGTCCTCCTCCTTCCCCTCTCCCACTTCTCTCTACCCCTGAACTGGACTATAATAAGTGATTTATTGGTCTTAGGAACATGTAATTGTTCATATATTAATTCATTTTAGTATGGAGTACACTGAGTATTTATCTTTCCATTCTTGTAATATTTTACTAAGAAGAATGTATTTCAGCTCCATCCAAGTAAATGTAAAAGATGTAAAGTCTCCGTTCCTTTCAACAGCTGCAAAATATTCCATGGTATACATACCACAGTTTGTTCATCCATTCTTTTTTTTTTTTTTATAGAGACGAAGTCTCACTTTTTTCACCCTTGGTAGAGTGCTGTGGCATTACAGCTCACAGCAACCTCCAACTCCTGGACTTAAGCAATTCTCTTGCCTCAGCCTCCTGAGTAAGCTGGGACTACAGGCACCTGCCACAACACCCAGCTATTTTTTTTTGTTGTTGTTGTTGCAGTTTGGCCAGGGTTGGGTTCAAACCCACCACCCTCAAGGTATGGGACCAGCACACCTACCCACTGAGCCACAGGCACCGCCCCTGTTCATCTATTCATGGGTTGATGGGCACTTAGGTTGCTTCCATGACTTGGCAATTATGAATTGAGCTGCAATAAACATTCTAGTGCAAATGTCTTTGTGGTAAAACAATATATGTTCTTCTGGGTAGATACCTAGTAATGGGATTGCAAGGTCAAATGGAAGGTCTACATTTAGATCTTTGAGGATTCTCCATACTTCTCTCCAAAAGGGCTATATTAGTTTACAATCCCACCAACAGTGTAAAAAGTGTTCTCTTCTCTCCAGTGGGCTATGGGTGCCAAACTAATTTTTAAATGTTTGACACTCAAATATTGGCCTACTTCTTCTCCCTTAGATAAGATTAAAGTAATGACTACAAACAAATGAGAATCTATCTTATTATTAAAGATTATCAAAGAAAAATTCTAACATATACTTTTAAACCATTTAATGGCCTAAAACCTTCACCATCTTTTTTGGTTATAACTATTGAGGTTTTTTAATTGTTGTTTGTTTGTTTGATTAATCACTCTTGGGCTCAAGTGATTCTCTTGTGTTAGCCTCCCAAGTAGCTGGTACTACAGGTACCTGCCATGATGCCCAGCTATTGTTTTAGAGACAAGGTCTTGCTCTTGCTCAGGCTGATCTCAAACTCCTGAGCTCAGGCAATCCACCCGCCTTGGCCTCCCCAGAGTGCTATGATTACAGAAGTGAGCTGCGCACCTCACCTATAACTACTATTCTTAAAACATGTCTTCACCCTAAATATGCTAAATTAACTTTAAGCAACTTTATAAAAACAAGAAACTCAGTGAAAATTAAACTTAGTACTATTACAACAATAGATACTCTCTCTTTCTCTTTTCATGTCACATGCATAGTGAAGACTTTCTCATGTTTCTATAACCTTAGGGCCAGGGATATTAAGATTTTACAAGTTAGGTAAGTGGTCTGTCTATGCTTTTCTGTATATATACTTTAGTTTTTCTTCTGATTTAAATACTTTGTGCTGGCTTAGTGTCCATAGCTCAATGGTTAGGGCGCCAGCAACATATACCAAGGCTGGTGGGTTGGAAACCTGCCTGGGCCTGCTAAACAATAACAACAGCAACAAAAAAATAGCCGGGCGTTGTGGCAGGCACCTATAGTCCTAGCTGCTTGGGAGGTTGAGGCAAGAGAATCGCTTAAGCCCAAGACTTTGAGGTTGCTGTGAGCTATGATGCCATAGTACTCTACCGAGGGCAACATACTGAGACTCTGTCTCATAAATAAATAAATACTCTGTGCTGGGCGGTGCCTGTGGCTCAAGGAGTAGGGTGCGGGCCCCATATACCGTGGGTGGTGGGTTGAAGCCTGGCCCTGGCCAAAAGTGCAAAAAAAAATTACTCTGTGCTTATTTTAGAAAATACAGAAAGTTGGCTCGGTGCCTGTGGCTCAAGCGGCTAAGGTGCCAGCCACATACACCTAAGGTGGTGGTTCGAATCCCCAGCCCGGGCCCGCCAAACAACAATGATGGCTGCAACCAAAAAATGGCCGGGCGTGTGGCGGGCGCCTGTGGTCCCAGCTACTTGGGAGGCTGAGACAGGAGACTCGCTTGAGCCCAGGAGTTGGAGGTTGCTGTGAGCTGTGATGCCATGGCACTCTACCCAGGGGGATAGCTTGAGGCTCTGAGTACACAAAAAAAAAAAGATAAAAGAAAATACAGAAAGTTTAAAACATAAAGATCCATCCATTACCTATAATCCCATCACTAAGAAGAGAATTCTTTACATTTTCTTCAAAGTGAGTTTGATGTGATTGAATTATATCACTTTATATTTGAAAAACACAATATTAAGTTCAGATTCCTCTTACCTTCATTGTATCAGTGAGAGTTTGACTCAGTCGCTGGATATGACTAAGCAGCTTCCTTCTCTCCCCACAGGAACTAAAATTAGAATATGCAAATCTATCATTATTTGCTTAACCATGCCTGGAGTACATAATAGTATATAACCAACTCTAGATTATCTACACTAATAGAAAGAAAAGTTAGATTGGAAAGATCAATAATTCAAATATACTCCTCCTAGAAACCCTGTCCTCCATTTGCTCCTAAGATAGAGGACCCAACTACTAAATCAACATAGGTCCTGCCCAGGGTTCTGCCTCTGACCCTCTTGACTCTCCTCAAGTCTCAACTCAGACTTGATAAACTCAACATCTTCTTCATCTCTATTCAATGTTCACTTTGTATTTCAAACTTATTTATTATTATTATTTTTTTAAAGATAAAGTCTCACTTTGTTGCCCTCAGTAGAGTAATGTGGAGTCACAGCTCACAGCAACCTCCAGCTCTTGGGCTTAGGCGATTCTCTTGCCTCAACCTCCCACATAGCTGGGACTACAGGTGCCCACCACAACGCCTAGCTATTTTCTTTGTCATTGAGGTTTGGCCAGGACTGGGTTCAAACCCGCCACCCTCAGTATATGGGGCTAGCTCCCTACTCATTGAGCCACAGGCACTGCCCCTTCAAACTTATTTTAATCAAACTGAAGTCAACATCTACCCTCAGAACCCTGAACTGACTTTTAAGCACCAGGTGAGTGACTTAAGCATGAATCAAATATATATAAAGGTTTTAGCTTTATTTATTACCCATCTTCCGCTGTCAGTAATCCCTTGTCATGCTCTAGTTTCAAGACAAAAATTTAAAGGGAATTAAATCTGAAAAGCTCAAAATCCTGTGACTCATTACTTCAATTTACAATTAAAATACTATGAGTCCTCACTCCTGGCTAAGTGTCAACAGATACTAAAGGCCAAGAGTTTTAATGATCTACTAGCTAATCAAAGTGAAAATAAATCTTCTGCTAGAAGGCACAGGTAGACAACAGAGCCAGAAGTACTACACTGGCCTCTATGTTGTACTCTGAGAAGGACAGTAATAACAAATCTAAGAATGATATTCCTGAGATGAACAGAAGCATTATCATAGCTGATAACTAACGCATACCTTGTGTCTACTACTCCTCTACCCTCACCAGTTTGACATAACAAGAACAGCACAAAACCAGACTTTAAGAAGTACTTATAGATGGACTTGAGTTAAGGTAGTCACATTTGAGCATAACCATAAGTCACAGCATAAAATATTAAACCTAAATTAATCTCACTACTGCCCCATATTTTCCTGAACTGATACTCACTATTCATCACTTAATTAAAACCTGGCTGGGTGGCTCGGCGCCTGTGGCTCAAGCGGTTAAGGCGCCAGCCACATACACCTAAGGTGGTGGGTTCGAATCCCCAGCCCGGGCC